GTAGTAGAGGAGGGTGGTGGAGGAGACGGGGGGGGGGACCGGCAGGATGGAGGGGGAAGCTTACCTGCTCCTGCTGCTTCCTCCTCCGCCTGCTCTGCGTGGAGCTCCCCCGTCCCCCCCCCCCCGGACATACAGGCCAGTTTGGTGTAGTGGTTAAGTGCGCAGACTCTAATCTGGGAGAACCGGGTTTGATTCCCCATTCCTCCACTTGCACCTGGCTGGATGACCTTGGGCAAGCCATAGCTCTGGCACAGCTGTTCTTGAAAAAGAGCATTTCTGTCAGAGCTCTCTTAGCCCCACCTAACTCACAGGGTGTCTGTTGTGGGGAGGGGAAGGGAAAGGAGTTTGTAAGCCGCTCTGAGACTCCTTTGGGTAGTGAAGGGCGGGGTATAAATCCAATCTCTTCTTCTTCTTTTACCTCACAGGGTGTCTGTTGTGGGGAGGGGAAGGGGAAGGAGTTTGTAAGCCGCTCTGAGACTCCCAAGTGAAGGGCGGGGTATAAATCCAATCTCCTCTTCTTCTTCTCCTCTAATGTAGGGCCTGCGTTGGTACACCCTGAGGTGGGGCAGATGCCAAGGCCCAGGTCTTTTGGCGGGGCCCACTGCCATGGGTCCTCACCCACTCACCTCCCAGTGGCCCATGTGCTTGTTGTGAGCACCCCTGCTACCCATGCTCCCAGCTGCACCTACTGCCCAGCACAGTCAGGGAAAGGTGGTCAAACACTGGGAGGACTGGGAAATGAGCAGATGGGTAGGGGAAGGACAGATAGGTAGTCGGCGTAGTGTAGTGGTTAAAAGCATTAGTCTCTAATCTAGAGAACCAGGTTTGACTCCCCACTCCTCCACATGCAGACAGCTGAGTGAACTTGGGTCAGCCATAGTTCACCTGAAGAAGAGAGAAGAGATTGGATTCATACCCCGCCCTTCACTCGGAATCTCAGAGCGGCTTACAAACTCCTTTTCCCTTCCCCTCCCCACAGCAGACACCCTGTGAGGTGTCTTTCCAGAACTGCTCTTTCAAGGACAGCTCTGACAGAACTATGGCCTTCCCAAGGTCACACCAGCAGCTGCATGCGGAGGAGTGGGGGAATCAAACCCGGCTCTCCCAGATTAGAGTCCGTGCACTTAACCACGACACCAAACTGGCTCTCAAACTTGCAGAGCTGTCCTCTCAAGAGCAGTTTCTCTCAGAGCTCTCTCAGCCCCACCTCCCTCACAGGGTGCCTGTTGTGGGGAGGGGAAGGGAAGGAGACCGTAAGCCGTTCCGAGACTCCTTCGGGTAGGGAAGGGCGGGGTATAAAACCAACTCCCCTTCTTCTGTGGGAGAGGAGAATGCAGGTGGGCAAGAAGGTGTGAGTGGGGGAGGGGACAATGGCAAACAGAGGAGGGGACGGGGGGGGCACTGGGCACTTCCTGCTCAGGGCCCACTGAAGCCTGGAACCAGCCCTGATCTAGCCCCACCCCCTGCTCAATGCAGGATCAGCCCAGAGCATCCCTGACAAGTGTTTGTCCAGCCGCTGCTGGAAGGCTGCCAGCGAGCTCTCCACCTCCCTTGGTGGCCCATCCCACCAATAAACTACTCTTACAGAGCAGGGACACACCAATGCTCCTCGCCTGCCACAAATCTTGTTAGCCTTTCAGGTGCTCCTGGACTCTTGCTCTTTTCTACTGCTACAGACAGACTAGCACACCTTCCCATCTTGATCTCCTCTTACTGTAAGTAAAGGTAAAAGGCAAAGGTTGCGGTGCTCCTCTCCGTTTCAAAGCCGAAGAGCCGGCGCTGTCCGAAGACATTTCCGTGGTCATGTGGCTGGCATGACTAAACACCGAGGTGCACGGAATGCTGTTACCTTCCCACCAAAGCAGTACCGATTTATCTACTTGCAATTTCTTGCTTTTGAACTGCTAGGCTGGCAGGAGCTGGAACTAGAGACGGGAGCTCACTCCGTCATGCGGCACACTCGGGTCCCGAACTGCTGAACTACCGACCTTCCACAGCCTGCAGTTCAGCGTCTTAACCACTTGAGCCATCGCTGCTCTTACTGTAGTCATGAGTAAATTGTTCCATTAGTTTCAAAGGGGCTCATGACCACAGTCTGGTTCTGAACTCTAGAGGATGACCATGTTGAGGTAAAAGATTCTGGGTTTGAATGCACAGACAACTCCCCGCAAACAGAAAAATCAGCGCAGAAAGACGAAAGCTTCTGCCCCGTCTCTTGGCTCTCTGTTTGCGGGGAGCTTTGCACCCAGCGGAGCATTCCGGAATGCGATTCGCCAAGTTAACACAGCGCATTCACAGCATTCTGTCACCTCATTTGCCGCTTCATTCTTCAGGAGGTGTAAACCGGGCCTAATTCCAGGCCTTACGGAGGGTGCGGCTGGCTGCTCTGAAACAAACAAGCCACAAGGTCGGTGGCTTGAACAACGTACCCAAAAAATGCCAAGGGAAAAAAAAAGAAACTGTGATAGGGAACATAGAAAGATCTTATTTTATATGTGAGCTCAGAGTCATGAAAGCTTATGCTGAAATAAATGCGGGAAGTCAAAATACCCTGACCTGGACGGCCCAGGTGAAGCCCAATCTCGTCAGATCTTGGAAGCTTAGCAGGGTCGGCCCTGGCTAGTATTTGGAAGGGAGACCACCAAGGAATAGCAGGGTGGTGACCCGAAGGCAGGCAATGGCGAACCACCTCTGTTCGTCTCTTGCCTTGAAAACCCCACCAGGGGTCGCCATAAGTCAGCTGGGACTCGACGGCACTTTCTACCCTCAGTCATTACGGTGCCACTGGACTTCCGTTTTATTTTGCTACGATAAACTAACATGGGTCTCTTACCAGGGCTCTTTTTGTAGAAAAAGCCCAGCAGGAACTCATTAGCATAATAGGCCACACCCAACAGCAGGAACTCATTAGCATATTGGGCCACACCCCTGACAGCACAGCTCATTAGCACATTAGGCCGCACCCCCATGTTACCAGAAGTGTGCTCATCCAGCCACACCCACCTTTTGCTTCTTATTCTGTTTACCTTGTTTGTTGTCCAAACCCAGGGCTTTTCTGTAGCAGGAACTCCTTTGCATGTTAGGCCACACACCCCTAATGTAGCCAATCCTAATGAGTTTCTGCTGTTGGGTGTGGCCTATTATGCTAATGAGTTCCTGCTGGGCGTGGCCAACTTGGGAGCCAGACGGAACTCCGTTCCTGTGCGTTCCTGCCCTAAAATAGCCCTGGAAGTAACCAAACCAGTCACGTTTCAAAGTATAGTACCAAATCACAAGCCTGATCTCGTCAGATCTCGGGAGTGAAGCAGGGCCGACCCTGGCAAGTATCTGGAAGGGAGACCTCCAAGGAATACCAGGGCAGAGGCAGGCCATAGCAAGCCACCTCTCTAAAACGTCCAAGCCCCACTAGGGGTCGCCAGATGTCAACTGCCAGGCATGCGCGCGCACACACACACAGTAACCCCCCCCCCCAAATTATAATATCAAATCTCAGTTCCACAATTCAAAAGTCAAATTTGGGGGATCAACATCTAATTTATGAAATGTGAAAGATGGCCCTTCAGAATTTTGTCACATTTCAGTTTGGGTCTGATGCTTGTCTGTATCAGTACATGGGGAAAAAGTCCAGTGCCACCTTAAAGACCAACACAGCTTAATTCTGGGCATAAGCTTTCATGTGCAGGCACACTTACCAACAGGCCACCCACCTGAATCTAGCTACACGGAAAAGAAATTCCTTTCTGCCAGGCTGCAATTTATACTGCTAAAGGGCCACTGGAGAGAAATGTGCAATGAATTTTGCTGGCGTGACACAAGGGAAAGCATCGGAGATTTACACGGGGTCAGACATATGGCTTTGTTAGTAGACAGATCTAGGCTCTACTCCAATATACCACAACCGGGATGCCTGGACTTTGATAGACTAACTCCCGAAATCATTAGAAGAGGGACTATCCCACATGCCAAAATATGCATTCAAGAAGCACTGCAAATTAATGTCCTCCACAAAATAAATTCGTCTTGTTAAGCACAGTTGGATCAATAGGGCTGTGACTGCCAGCAGATTTTAGGCTCAGTTCAATCTTTGTACACAGTGTAAAACATCCTGAGGGTTCCCTTTCAGAGATGTAGAAATAGCACATTTTAGACTGAGTGAGGAAATGATCAAAAAAATTCCTGAATAAGGGAAGCATGTGCTGCACGGAAAAAGCTGGGTTAGAAGAATTGTTCTGAACATGCTAGGTTTCCATAGACAGGGAGATCTGGATGGCCTCCAGCCTCCAGGTGAAAACCCTTCCGGACTGCTGAAAGGGTGGATTGTATCTATGATTGTATGATATATATATCATAGAATCGTAGAGTTGGGAGGGATCTCCAGGGTCATCTAGTCCAACCCCCTGCACTATGCAGGAAATTCACAAATATCTCACCCCACACACACCCCACACACACTTCCCAGAAGATGACAAGTGTGTGTGTGTGTGTGTGTGTGTGTGTGTGTGTGTGTGTGTGTGTGTGTGTTAATCAGGGCTTTTTTGTATAAAAAGTCCAGCAGGAACTCATTAGCGATAATAGGCCACACCCAACAGCAGAAACTCATTAGCATATTAGGCCACACCCCCATGCCTTCTCTTGGCTTGCCTGGGCGCCCCACGGCTGCAGAGAGCCTGGACAAGCCCCCCCCCCGAAGGGCCCGGAAGGCAGTTTAAACTCTGGGTTCTGAGTCACGGGGGGGGGGGCCGTCGCTCTCCAGGCCTTCCCTCTGTAGCCAGGCACACAGAGGTTTTGGCTGCAGTGGGCGTGGCCAACTCTGAAACCAGCCGGAGCGCCGTTTCTGTGTGTTCCTGCCCCAAAATAGCCCTGTTAATAAATAAAACCCATCCTTTCAATAATCCAGAAGGGTTGTCACCTGGAGGGAAGTTAGACTGAGAGTGTGTAACTACCCAAGGTCAAACCAGCTGGCTTCCATGGCGGAGTGGGGTTAGGCCAAACTCTAAGTATTATAGCGCACTGGCACTCTTAATTCAGGGGCCCACAGAGCCGCGACTCCCCTGCATATTCTACCTTCCTGGTAAAATCCAGGAAGGGCTGCACCACAGATTAAGGCCCATTCTGCACCTAGCATTCGCTCCGTTGTTTTACCAAACCCACCCTGGAACAGAAAAAGATGCAGCTCAAAACCACATTCAAATACCCCCCGGGGCCAACGCTGTACTGACTGCAAAGTCACCCCTCCTGAATGCCATAAAACAGCCTCAGATCTATGCAGACGGTACCATAAAACCGAGAGATCAAACAAAGTGAAAGCGGCCTGCAGTCTGAACACTGCCATAAAATCCGACAAAGCGAAAGTGGCACGCGACGTAGAGGGGAGTTTCTGTTCCAACGTGGGTCTGGTAAAACAGCGGGGCGAATGCTAGATGCAGAATGGGCCTATATCTGCTCACAGAACGAAGTCTGAGTCCAGTGGCACCTTTAAGACCAACAGAAGTTTTATTCAAGGTAGGAGCTTTCGTGTGCCATACCGTGAATTAAACGTTTGTTGGTCTTAAAGGTGCCGCTGGACTCAAACTTGGTTCCACTGCTCTAGACCAACATGGCTGCCCCACCTGGATATATCTGCTCGCTTCAGTCATCAGAGGACCCCCCCCCCCAGAAAGCTGATATACAGTATGCCTTCATAAATTGCTTTTTTGCATACAGTAAGAATTGGGGCAGGGCTACCGCTGATGCTATTAAATTCTTGTGACATTTCCAATTTCAAAGCGTTTGTCTTAAAACTGAGTCTCCCAGGGGTTGGCCTAGCTAGCAAATGACTTGAAAAGCCACAGGCTGGGTGAGCCTGTGAAGGAAGCAATATTCTAGAAAAAGGAAGTAGCTCTTCCAGGGCACTCTGGACAGCATTAAATGCCCCTCCGGCTAGTCCCTCCAATTCTAGAGCATTAAATTGCCCTCCAGCTGGTCCTTCCAATCCTAGACCGATTTCTCATTCGCCGCTGCTCCGCCCTCTCGTTTCCCTTTGCCCCCATCACATTAGTCAATGTCCCACTACTTGCTGCACGGCTGCATTTTGCCCCGCAGCTTCGCCTGATTTCCCCCGCGTCTACTCGATCCTCAAAAAACCAGGATTGAGTCGATGCGGGGGAAATCGGGCGAAGTTGCGGGGCAAAATGTGGCTGCGCAACAAGTAGTGAGAAATTGACTAATGTGATCGGGGCAAAGGGAGACAGGAGGGCAGAGCAGCGGCTAGTGAGAAATTGGTCCTTGAGAAACCCCCTTTTGCCCATCCCCATTTCAGCCTGGCCATCCCACACCTCAGGGCAGAGAAGGAGCATCAATATGCCAACTGCTTTGCTAAGGTTTCACCCGGTCAGAAAAGTTTCTTTACTTGAGCAATATGTCTGGACGATATCCTTCATTTGCCAGTTGTTCCTGGAAGCGAGGACTTCGATCAGCATCTCCTCATCGGTCCCAGGACCCTTAAATACAAGCAAACAAAAAAGGCCTTGCGCTCAAATCAATAAGTATTTTCCTGTTGTAAATGGATTAGAGAGGATATTGATGAGGCTCCCGGATTTATCAGCCTTCAGAAGATGAAGCACCAATAAACAGATGTTTTAAGGTAAGATTTCGAAAGAGGGAACGTCCGAAATATTCACTCCGACAGGAGGAGGGAAATGAGTCCTAGCCAAGTGAAGTAGCATCTAAATTTCCATCAACTTGAATGGGAGAAGTTTCAGCAAGTGCTTAAAAATGTTTAAACATTTGCTGGGTGGCAGAAATGTAAAATTTTCAAACATTTCAAAGCCACGGGGAGGAAAAAAAAAATCTGTTTTTCCCTCAGAAAAAAACCTGAAATTTCAAGAAAAACTGGACTATATGCATTACTTTTCTGTCAAACCTAACCCCCCTTTTCCTGCTAAACAATGTAAAAGGCATACAATGTAAAAGGCATAGTTAGCATATAAAATTGTGTTAACTGGAATAGTTGTGGCATTGAAAAATAGAAATGCCATTGTTTCCCACAAGCTAAACTCCAAATATACCCAGTACTTCCTGTACACTATGCTATTTTATCACATTTCACTTACTCCAAAAGAAAAAAGAATCTCCCCCTCTCTCTCATAGGAGGGGTTTTTCCTGCTCTCCCAATGCTCATATGATATATATTTGAAAAATTGAAAACAAAAAGCATGTCACTCATTTCAAAAGTTAAAACAATGGGCATTTCTACAGTAAGTAATGCAACTCACGTGGCAGGGAGGTGTCTGTTGGTTGCTGCCTTGTCTGGCCCTGTTGAGTCCTCCCTCAAAGTCCAAAATAGCCCTGAAAAGAGTTCTGCCTCTTCCCCGTGCCTTTCACTGACAAAAACCAAGGCTTCAACTGGCAATGCTGTTGTAGTCGTCTAGCAACGGCCACAGAGGGCATTTGTTTCTTAAAGGTACAGGCGCTGCTTCTATTACTGGGGGGGCGCTTAAACCCCCAGTGTTATTTTCCCCAGATTTCAGAGTTCCCTGCAAACCTGGGATTTGTAGAACATCTGTCTTGTCTGTTCATGGCCCCAGTCTCTGGATTTAAGAATCCACAGATTTGGCTGCACTGAGAATTAGATATACCGATTTCATATATATTAATATGACAATCTTTGTTTTTTTTAAACTTGTCTCAAAAGTACCACCAGAAAGAGCAGGCTAAATCATTCCGAAGAAAACTGCAAGTATTCACACCACCTTTACGGACACTTACTTTTAAGGCTCTGTACAGCAGCTGAGCATCAAAAACCGCGGGAGGGATGACAAGAGCCACCATAAGGTGCTTCACATCGCCTGAAAGCTCATCCCTCAGTACGTCTTTCAGATCCTAAACAAAACACAAGAGAAGCAGAATACATCTCACTGCTGAAAGTCACATCTGTACCCCACCCCACAGCCCGTCTTCCTTTCACCACGTGGACATTACCAAACTGGTCCTTCTGCACAAATCCTGTATCTCGGGAAGAAGGGTTCCAGCCAATCCTCCTAAGCATGTATCTCATCCAGAACTGGAGAGCCCCGCCTTCCCACACCCACCAGCCAATCCTCACTAACCCCCCCACAGCATCCCCAGGACAGCCAGACACCGATTTACTACAGATGGCACTCACAAAGCCCTGCTCCATCTCCCCACATCTCTACATCCTGACAGGCCGCCGTATTTTATATCCCGCCATTCCTCAGAGGAGACAGTGTCATAGATGCAACGAACATGAAATTGAGCAAACTTCAGAGGACGGCGGAAGACCGGAAAGCCTGGCGGGAGCTGGTCCATGGGGCCGCGAAGAGTCGGACTCGACTGTGCGACTGAACAGCAACAACAACAAAAAATTCCTCAGAGGAGCTCCGGACTCTGCACATGCACTACACCAGTTTGGTGTAGTGCTTAAGTGCATGGACTCTAATCTGGGAGAACCGGGTTTGATTTCCCACTCCTCCACTTGCACCTGGCTGGATGACCTTGGGTAAGCCATAGTTCTGATAAGAGCTGTTTTTGAAAGAGAGCAGTTTCTGTCAGAGCTCTCTCAGCCCCACCTACCTCACAGGGTGTCTGTTGTGGGGAGGGGAAGGGAAAGGAGTTTGTTAGCCGCTCTGAGACACCTTTGGTTAGTGAAGGGCGGGGTATAAATCCAATCTCCTCCTCCTCCTCCTCCTCCTCCTCACAATGATCCTGAGAGGTATGCTAGGTAGAGGCAGTGAGACCTGCAGAAGGCTACCTAGACAGCTTCACGGAGACCTGAACACTCCTCCCAGCCATTATTCCCAGTATGCAAACCCCTGCACGACATGTTAAGTTTTTCGGCAAAACCAAACTGCAGTTTAGCCATCACTATGGTCACTATGGGCTGCGGTGCCTCAAGTGGTTAAGACACTGAACTGCAGACCAAAAGGTCGGTAGTTCAGCAGTTTGAGACCTGAGTGCCGCATGACGGAGTGAGCTCTCGTCTCTGGTCCCAGCTCCTGCCAACCTAGCAGTTCGAAAGTAAGAAATTGCAAGTAGATAAATAGGTACCACTTCGGTGGGAAGGTGACAGCGTTCCGTGCGCCTCGACATCTAGTCATGCCGTCCACATGACCACGGAGAAGTCTTTGGACAGCGCTGGTTCTTCGGCTTGGAAACGAAAATGAGCACCGCATCCCTAGAGTTGGATTCAACTGGCTTTCGAGCAAGGGAAACCTTTACCTTTATGGTCTTGTATAGCAGAAATATTTCCATTCAGTTCCTTCGTTGATGCATCCCTTTGTGCCCCGACCGTCCTTCCCAAACCTTACCTTTCCTGAACCTTCCCTAAAACACCCTGCAATCAGCTGCCGCTGAGCATTCGTCCTGCTTGTCAGGATGCTGAAGATCGTAGTCCTCGCCTCACCTCCTAAAATGAAATGCACCATGTCGTCATTCAGAAGCGGTTGAAATCCCAGTCCCATAAGCAACACAGTCCAATGATGAGCTGGCATTTTGCTGTGATCTGGAATCTGGTACCCACCTTCCCCACCGAATCCTAGCCTTTGGTATTCTGGCTAGCCAGGACTGGGTGCTGTTGCTCCCCCAAAACAGCAGTGGAGTTCCTTGCAACCCTGCAACCAATAAGCCCCAAGCACAGTCTTCCTGCAACCAGGGGTCATTTCCTGCAGGAGCGCACAGGAGCGGAGCTCCGGCAGTAAGGAGCCCAGGGGGCGGGCACATGCAACAACCCCCACCCCCTGCTCCCAGCAGCCCTCAGTCAGAGCAAGAAGCAACCAGGTAAGTTGCAGAGCCCCCCTCCCCGTTCCAAAACAGTCCAGTGGCACCTTTAAGACCAAGTTTTATTCCGGTACAAGCTCTCCCTCCTCTGCAAGGACAGATCTGTACGTTCCCCCCACACACACACACTAGCTAGCAATCCAAAACTCACTGTGTGAGACAGGATGCTGGACTAGATGGACCACTGGTCTGCTCCAGCAGGGCTCATCTTCTGTTCTTATCAGGGGAAGGCCTCGGCCTCTATGCTCTGTTGTTGCCCATCAAGAGGAACTGGTTGGCCACTGTGTGAGACAGGATGCTGGACCAGATGGACCACTGGTCTGATCCAGCAGGGCTCATCTTATGTTCTTATCAGAGGAAGGCCTCGACCTCTATGCCCTGTTGTTGCCCATCAAGAGGAACTGGTTGGCCGCTGTGTGAGACAGGATGCTGGACTAGGTGGACCACCGGTCTGATCCAGCAGGACTCATCTTATCTTCTTATCAGGGGAAGGCCTCGGCCCCTATGACCTGTTGTTGCCCATCAGGAGGAACTGGTTGGCCACTGTGTGAGACAGGATGCTGGACTAGAAGGACCCTCACTGGTCTGACCCAGCAGGGCTCTTCTTATCTTCTTATGGCTGGCTCTCACTCAAGACAGGTCCTTAATCTGACCCAGCAAGATGATTACCATGAAATCAAGTCCTCTCGTCCACCACAAGGACTTTGGGTCACACATGCACTGGCAGTCCCGTGCTTCCCAGGCCATCGCAGGGCCAATTAATCAGGATAGCAAAACACATGGGGTGTGTGTGTCAGCCTTTCTCTCCTCCCTGCCTGAAATTCCCAACCTGAAATTGCCCCGGGAGCCAGTGCTCCAATCCGAATTGGAGTCTTGTGAGCAACAATTCTACTTGGTGAGCTCCTGGCATTAAAGTTGTGAGCGAGTGATTTGAACATAAGAACATAAGAGACGCCAATGTTGGATCAGGCCAAAGGCCCATCCAGTCCAACACTCTGTCACACAGTGGCCAGAAATACCAGGTGCCATCAGGAGGTCCACCAGTGGGGCCAGGACACCAGAAGCCCTCCCACTGTTGACCCCCCCCCCAAGCACCAAGAAGACAGAGCATCACTTGCCCCAGAGCCCCTATCTATATCTATATATTTGGCTACTGCATAAATCAGTTTTCTCTGGAGCCGTCCTTCCTGAGCTAAGACAAAAAATGTGTCAGCTGGAGGCTCAAAAACTGAGCTTGCTCACGCTAACTCAGCTTAGAGGGCACACTGCTGGGAGCCACTACTGACTCCATTGGCAAGCTTGTGTACAGCAGTTCCCTGGCAGCTCTTCCATTAAAGAAAACATGGATTCATCATGATGTATTCATCATGGATGGGGAGGGGATGCTTGTAGGGGCTTCACACCAGACCCCGAAGGCTGTCTTGACACATCAAAGCCGTCGGGTTTGGTGCAACACAAAAAGAGACAGCTGCGGAGTCTGATGCAAACTCTCACGCTCGCCCAGCAATCCAGCAAATGCACAAGCGTGTCCTGGCCCGCTGCTGGACCTCCTGATGGCACCTGGTATTTTTGGCCACTGTGTGACAGAGTGTTGGACTGGATGGGCCTTTGGCCTGATCCATCATTGGCTTCTCTTACGTTCTTATGTTTTTAGCTCTGTCGGTCTTCCTCCTAGCCCGGAGTTAGGCGGGACCACAATGCGAGCTTACTCATACCTCTTATGGCTTTCCAAATGATCTCAGCCTCTCTCGCCGCATTGAAACCTCCTGTGTCCCGGACTGTTCCTCGATTGCCAATCTAAAAACAAGGGAATCCAAATTTACAAAGCTACTCTCCTGGTTTTCGCCTCAAGAAATTCAGACACGCAAATTAACACAGGCGGGGTCCTTTCTCAATGTTCGAGTGCCTGCTTCCGTCAAACCTTGCTTCGCTCTGGTTGCCATGGTTATTGGGGGGAGGGGATTCCTACGGGGAGGGCGGTTGAGTGAATGAGTGAGACCTTTGCTTGTAGAAGTCATAACTTTCCTCGCAAGTTGTACCTCCTTTCCCTTTCCCAGGGTGAGGTCCCAGCTTGAGTAAGACGTATTATCTTTTCCTTGGTCGAGATGGCAACACCAAGACGTATTATCTTTTCCTTGGTCGAGATGGCAACACTAGGCATGGCGTGAATGGGTGACTTGGGGGAAAGAAGGGGCTTTTATTCGAATTACCTATATTAAGCTTGTACCCGCCAAAAGTCTTTGGTTCTAACTCACTGACTTTCTGGATCATGCATATACCTCAATAAACTTATCACTGCCAAGAGAGAGTTGTTGAGAGTAACTGGACTGGGGGTCTGACAGCTTCACAGGTTGAAAGGTCTCAGATTGCTAGCCAAGCCGCTTCTCTGAACGTCCCCCATGCCCCAGTAGGAGTCGCTGGAGGTCGCCATGACTTCCAGGCACGGGCGCGTGCACATGGACGCACACACACAAAAATACCAAAGAAAAGGGGGGAAAAAGAAAGGTCTCAGATTGTCCCTGGACTCTCCAGTGAAAGGGACCAGGAACCACCTTCATTTTCCTAAATGGAATGAAAGAAGGGTAAAGTGGAAAACTAAGGTCCAGAACAACCCCCCAAAATGACATTGTCTTGGAATAGCGACTTGGTTGGCAAGAAGGGGAACTTTGCCTCCTTGAGTCAAGAGGAAAGGTGGGGTAGAAATGTTTTATAAATACTTCAATATCTGCAGGAATAAATAAATTGATATAATTCAACTGCTGATTGGCCAGGAGAAGCAGAGAAGTTCTGGGCCTGACTGCCAATCCCACCACGATTTATTAAAACTTTTCTGAAATGGCACCTGGTACCTGACTCTTTTTACTGACATGTAAGGAAACCATTCAGTTTCTCCCACCAGAACTCTGAGGACCAGAAACATGACTTGCTCAAAAAGAAGACAACTGCCCTTGTAAGCTCTCCCCACCCCATACCAAACGCAAAAATCTAAGCCACGTTCCTCCAGTTATGGCCTGACCACGGGAACGTAAATAGGACAATACCTTGGGGGAAAAACGAAGACTGCCCAGTTAAGAAGAAGAAGAGATTGGATTTATACCCTGCCCTTCACTACTCGAAAGAGTCTCAGAGCTGCTTACAATCCTTTTCCCTTCCCCTCCCCACAACAGACACCCTGTGAGGTCAGTGGGGCTGAGAGAGCTGTTTCGAGGACTGCTCTTGAGAGAACAGCTCTGTGAGAACTTGTGACTGACCCAAGGTCACACCAGCAGCCGCAGCATTCTCCCAGGTTAGAGTCCGCACTCCTAACCACTACACCAAACTGGCTCTAGTTGTCGCTTTTTGCTGATTACATCTGATCTGGCTAAAATGGGCAGAGGGAAATTCACTTGGGTGTGGAGGAGGAAACCCCCCCCCCCCCGAGCTTATGATCTCAGTCTTTCAGGAATGTTGACTTCGTTCCTCTGTTTTAAAAGGGAGACAGAAAGGGAGAGAATTGCCGAGGAACAGAATCCAGCCAGCAGGATAACGCTTTTGTTCTGAGCATCTCCAAATCCAGCCCACTCTAAGGGAAGGACAAAAGTGACGCATGAACAGCACATTCCTGCAATCGTCTCCCACATAAAGTCCACTTTGTGGTACAACAGGGAGTGAGACGCTAGCTGGATAAAGCCCCCATCGAAAGCAACGTTTCAGAAGGCCCCCCTGTTCATCCCAGAGAGATGCCATTTCAGCCAGGGATATCAAACAAGAGAGTCACAGTCCACCAACAGAAATACAAAGAGAAGAAGAAAACTGCAAACAGGCGCTACATCTATGAAACAAAAACATTCAATAATAGTATATTCTTTTTTGCAGCAGTGTGTATATTTATAACTACAAGGTGCACAAAAAAAGGTCCTTAAAGACAGTTGTTGACGAAGCTCTCCGGATTATGGGTTCGTTTCGTTGACACTTCACCCGACCGGGACCGTAACAACAATGTGATGTCTTCTATTCTTTGAACATTGTAGAATGCCACAGTGGCTTGCACTGCCTGCTGGTGTTCCCTGCTTGCTTCCTACCTCCTCACCGTATATGCAGGCTGAGCAGGTGAGACGCAAGCAGGACCCACGGACAGACAGTGCAAGTCCCAACGCACCCTCAGTTCAGCAGCACGATGTTCGGGAAGACCAGGCCAAAAATTCGTTGCAGCCAACTCCAAATCATTATTTCTCCCATCTAACCGATTTCCCTATCCCCACCCATCCTATCCCAAATCCAAGCTTTGCTTTTATTTATTTACTTATTTTATTCTTTTTATATCCCGCCCTACCCTGCAAGCGGGCTCAGGGTGGCTCACAACACAGAGAGTAAAACAATAAACAGTAATCCATAAAAATACATCACGGACACGTCAATTAAAAAATCCCCAGATGGGAGCATAACAGTCTAATGACAGGAACTGCTGCCACAGTGCCAAGGGAGGGCAAGTTTCTCTCAAAGCCAGAATCGGCTGGTGCGGCGCCAGTTGTGGGTATAGGCAGCGCCCCAGGCAGATGGTGCAAATTAAGCAGATTGGTCAGGTTGCGCAGGGAAGGCCGGTGTCATTTGGACATCCTCCGCCTCCGCCAAAAGCCTGGTGAAACAGCTCCATTTTGCAGGCCCCGCGGAATTGTAATAAATTTCGCAGGGCCCTGATCTCAATCGGGATCACATTCCATCAGGCAGGAGCCCGGGCTGAAAAAGGCAAGGCAGATGTCCTTTGGGCCGGGGACTACCAACCGATGCTGTTCAGAAGAGCTCAAAGCTCTTCGGGGCACGTCTGGGGAGACACGGTCCTGTAGTTATGCTGGTCCCTGGCCGTATGGGGCCTTAAAGGTTAGTACCATAACCTTGAATCTGGGGGGTTGCACGCATGCGCTAAACTAAGCCGGCTATGTTTTCCCCGAGCTCTGCCTTCAAACTAAAGAATTTATAGCTCAAAAGTTTGTAAACACTACGAAAACCCAGACAAGAAGCTGATAACCAGGGAGCAGCTGGATAGAACAACTTCAGAGCAGTAAGAACCTAATTTATTGCTGTGTCAGAAAGGAAAGTCTTGAGATTCTTAAGGCCGCTCCCAAAGCCTTCAATCAGATATGGCGAAAACGATTAAGGATTTATCTGAGCAGATTGCAGGACTCCAAAGCACAGTCCTTGCCTTCCAAGAAAAAAATTAGTGGGGAGTTAACCTCATTACGTGGGGAAGTTAGTAAAATAGGGACAGAAATAGCCTCTATAAAGCAGTCCGCTACGACAGCCAAAGAGCTTGCTGAAGCTAATGAGCTAAAAATATCTTCGCTGACTCGTCAAATAAACGACTTGTCAGATAGGAACAGAAGAGCCAACCTTATTCTATCAGGGATATCAGAGGAAGTTGCTGCAAACAAATTGGAAGAGACCCTGATACAGTGGTTGCAAACAAATGAAGTAGTGATAAAGGCAGAGGATGTTGAAAGAGTGCACCGGCTGCAAAGGAACGGGAGGGGCGGGCCCCCTAGAGATGTAATAATTAAATTTGCCAGAGAGAACATGCAACAACAAATATATACAACACTAAAGAAGAAGAAAGAACTGACGTTTAGAGGACAAAAAGTGTGGGTCAGACAGGATTTTTGCCAAGAGACCTTAAGGAAAAAAACCCTCATGAGTCCTTTTGCTCAAAAGCTTCATGCAAACAATGTTAAATTCTCATGGGGCTATCCATCCTCTATAATTATATTTCGAGAAGGAAAGAGACTCATGGCAAGGAACACTACAGAGGCAAAAGATCTTCTAAAACAATTAGGAATCAACACAGATGACATGGGAGAGCAAGAAATGGAAGAGGAATCGGGGGTGCCTGATGATGGTGATGAAGGAACTTCAGAGAGAAGAGAGAAACGTCTCAGGACCAGCTCCAGATAACCAATTAAGGGAAGTATACCTTTACTGACTGAGCTAACGATTATTATTATTATTATTGATACAGTATTAAGAAGGGGGAGGAGGGGGGATGCGTGCAATCCATGCAGTGGAGAGGGGGAAAGAGATTTTCTTTCCAGTATTACTCTCAACCACAGGGGGGGAAAGGGTAAATTAATTAAACATCCAAATTGGTCACAGCCACGAGATGACAAAGCCATGTGGGACATGGATAAAACAATAAAAACTTTATCACTGAATGTCAATGGTTTAACATCAGAATTTAAAAGATACAGGATAGCCAAGTTGGCAAGAGAGCAAAAAATAGATGTTTTATGTTTACAGGAAACACATAAGAAAAGAAATGACAACAAGCCTTTGCTAAAAGACTCGACCTCTCTCAGCCCCACCTGCCTCACAGGGTGCCTGTTGCGGGGAGTGGAAGGCGACTGTAAGACATTTTGAGACACAGGAGGCCAGCTGGGTGACCTTGGGCTAGTCATGTTTCTCTCCGGACTCTCTCAGTCCCACCTGCCTCACAAGGTGCCTGTTGTGGGGAGAGGAAGGGAAGGCGGTTGTAAGCCACGTTGAGACACATGAGGCCTGCTGGGTGACCTTGGGCCAGTCACGTTTCTCTCAGGACTCTCTCGGCCCCACCTGCCTCACAGGGTGCCTGTTGCGGGGAGGGGAAGGCGATTGTAAGCTGCTTTGAGACTCCTTCAGTTGGACAAAGGGAGCCTGGACTCTCAAAAGGTCCTACCACCCCAAATCTTGTTGGCCTCTAAGATGCTACTGGACTCAACTCCAGAACTATGGTTATACCCACCCCAGTGCTCTGACCCTCCACGATCTTCCTGGGCCCTGTCGCTCTTTGTGCTCTCAAGAGGCAGGATTTATTTGCGAGGAGGCTCAAGACATGGCCAATGTTCCCTCTAAGCTGTGGACTCTTGTGAGCAAAAATTCTACTTTGTGAGCTACTGGCATTAAAGTTGTGAGCAAGAGATTTGGCTGCTGGATAAACTAGTTTGCTCTGGAGCCCTCCTTCCTGAGCCGAGACCAAAATGTGTGAGCCAGAGGCTCAAAAACTGTGAGCTAGCTCACACCAACTCAGCTTAGAGGGAACACTGGACATGGCTGGCTTACTTGCCGGTAGATTCTTGGGGTGTGTCGGCGCTCCCATCACACAGAAGATCTGCTTGCAGTTCACTGCCTCCAGGGCACCAAATTCTACACCCAGCCCCAAATCCAGCTCTTCCATTACAGCAGCTACCAAATGCAATGTTGTCAGATCTCAGAAGCTCAGCAGGGTCAGCCCTGGTTCGTACCCGGATGGGCGACCAAGGCTCCCTCTCAGGTGCGGAGTCTTGTGAGCAGAAATTCTACTTTGTGAGCGACTGGCATTAAAGGTGTGAGCGAGCGATTTGGCCACTGCATAAATTAGTTTGCTCTTTCGCCATCCTTCTTGAGCTAAGGCAAAAATGTATGAGCTGGAGGCTAAAAAACGTAAGCTTAGTGGGAACACTGGTCAGGACTAATGCTCCCTCTAAGGTGTGGAGTCTTGTGAGCAAAAATTCTACTTTGTGAGCTACTAGCATTAAAGTTGTGAGCAAGTGATTTGGCCGCTGCATAAATTAGTTTGCTCTGGAGCCCTCCTTCCTGAGCGAAGACAAAAAGTCTGTGAGCTGGAGGCTAAAAAACTGTGAGCTGCGGTGGCTCAAGTGGTTAAGACGCTGAACTGCAGGCTGTGGAAGGTCAGTAGTTCAGCAGTTCAAGACCCGGGTGCCGCATGACGGAGTGAGCTCCCGTCTCTAGTTCCAGCTCCTGCCAACCTTGCAGTTCGAAAGCAAGAAATTGCATGTAGATAAATAGGTACCACTTCGGTGGGAAGGTAACAGCGTTCCGTGCGCCTGGGTGTTTAGTCATGCCGGCCACATGACCACGGAAATGTCTTTGGACAGCGCTGGCTCTTCGGCTTTGAAATGGAGATGAGCACCGCAACCCTAGAGTCGGATTCGACTGGCTTTCGAGCAAGGGAACCTTTACCTTTACCTAGCTCACACTAACTCAGCTTAGAGGGAATACTGACCACCAAGGAAGGCCGCAGCTGCCACACAGAGGCAATAGCAAACCACCTCTGTTTCTCTCTTGCCTCAAAAACCCTACGGCGTCACCACAAGTCAACTGCAAGTTGACGGCGCTCTTCTCCCACCACCACATAAGCCAAGTTGCAACAAAAAACATACTGCGGCGTTTTCATTTTACTCACCCAAGCTGAGGCCATGATTAACTTCTCTCCGGAGGATGCTGAAGAAGAAACCAGATATAAATACAACCGTAACACTGTGCACATACACTTTTGAGACCATGAGTTCCAGCAACCGGTGTGACCGTCGCAGGAACGTACTGGACAATTCTGGGAACACCACGCAGGGTTCCAAGTCTCTCCCCATCGAAGGCACCCCCATTTCAAAACATTTGTTTTTATCTTGGTTTCTGCTTCTTTTCCTTCAAAGGTTCTTGTCAAGAACATTGGTTTGTTCAAAATGGAGTTCTGTTTTAAAAGTTGGTCCAGTCTGGCTATGGCCTGTATTTGTTTATTCTTTATTTTATTTATTTATTTGTTTGATTTATATCCCGCCCTCCCAAAGGCTCAGGGCGGCTCACATGCGGCAAAGCCGTATTTATATAATAAATAAAACATTTAAAATCACAATAAAACCTTCCAATAATACGGTGCTATACCTATATTAATCATCCAAGATGGGGACAACCCCCCCCCCAGGTTTGGTGGCTAGCTGTCTCAGTAGCGTGGTCTCCCACTACACTGTCTCAAACTTCTGCCAGGGCCCGCTTGCCCCCGTTCTTATAGGGCAGCCGATGACTTGCCACCTCGGTGGTAGAATAGTGGCGGCGGCGGCTCCTACTCGAAGGCCTGGCAGAAGAGATCCGTCTTGCAGGCCCTGCGGAACTGCAGAAGGTCCCGCAGGGCCCGGAACTCCTCTGGGAGCTCATTCCACCAGGTAGGAGCCGCCACCGAAAATGCCCTGGCCCTAGTAGAGGCAAACTTAATCTCTCGGGGACCTGGCACTCCCAAGGGATGGAGCTTCCCCGATCATAGTGCTCTTGAGGGAACATACGGGAAGAGACGGTCCTTCAGGTAAGCCGGACCCTGGCCATTCAGGGCTTTAAAGGTGAGAACCAGCACTTTGAAGCGAATCCGGTATGCTATCGGCAGCCAGTGCAGCGCTTGCAGCCCAGGCCGAATATGGTCTCGCCTAGAGAGACCCAACAACAGCCTGGCTGCAGCATTCTGCACTAGCTGCAGCTTCCGGATTTGCAACAGAGGCAGCCCTAAGTAGAGAGTGTTCCAGTAGTCAAGCCTCGAGGTGACCGTCACGTGGATCACAGTGGCCAGGTCTTCACGATAAAGGTAGGGGACCAACTGCCGGGCCAGCCGCAGATGATAAAAGGCCGCTTTGGCAGTGGCTGCTACCTGGGCCTCCATTCTCAACGAGGAGTCCAAGAGCACCCCCAGACTCCTAGCCTCCCGCCAAGGCACCAATGGCACCCCGTCGAAGACCAGGAGTGGGAGCCCCAACCCCAGACCAGTCCGACTTAGGCCCAGGACCTCCGTCTTTTCCAGGTTTAATTTCAACCGACTCAGCCTGAGCCAACCAGCCACGGCTTGCAACGCCCGATGCAGGTCATAGGGACCAGAGTCCGACTGGCTGCCTAGCATCAGATAGAGCTGGGTATCATCAGCATATTGATGGCCCCCAAGCCCACACCTCCAGGCAATCTGGGCGAGGGGGCGCATGTAGATGTTAAACAACATCGGGGACAACATGGCTCCCTGGGGCACCCCACACTCAAGGGGTTGCCTTCGGGATTGCTGGTCCCCTATCGCCACCCTCTGTCCCCGACCTTGGAGAAAGGAGACAAACCACTGAAGGACAAGCCCCTGAATCCCCACGTCGGCGAGGCGGCGGGCCAGCAACTAGTGGTCGACCGTATCGAACGCAGCCGACAGGTCTAACAACACCAGTGCCGCCACACCACCCCGATCCAGATGCCTACGGAGGTCGTCCGTCAAGGCGACCAGCACCGTCTCCGTCCCGTGGCCAGGGCGAAAGCCGGACTGGAATGGATCGAGGACAGAAGCCTCATCCAGGTAGCCCTGTAACTGTGTCGCCACCGCCCTCTCAATCAGTTTGCCCAAATAGGGCAAATTGTTGAAAACCAACTCTTCTTCTTCTTCTTACTCTTTTCTACTGTGACAGACATACTAATGCAGCCACCCATCTTGACAAGTCCAGGTGGTTAGCTGTGTTGGTCTGAAGCAACAGAACAAAGTTTGTGTCCAGCGGCACCTTCAAGACCAACAAAGTTTAGTTCTGGGTACAAGCTTTCATGCACGTGCACACTTCTTCAAAACATATCTGAAGAAGTGTGCATGCAGAGGAAAACTTGTACTCAAAATTAAACTCTGTCGGTCTTAAAGGAGCCACTGGGCTCAAACTTTTGTTTGTTTTATAAGAACATCAGAAGAGCCCTGCTGGATCAGACCAGCAACCCATCCTGTCTCACAAGGTGGCCAACCAGTTCATATGGAAGTCAAACAACAGGGCACAGAGGTCGAGGCCTTCCCCTGATGTTGCCTCCTGGCACTGGGAATCAGAGGTTTACTGCCTCTTAACGTGGCCCTTTCTTACACGCCCAGGGAAATGCTGATCAGCACTTTGGGGTCAGGAAGCAATTTTTCTCCAGGCCAGTTTGGCTGGAGATCCTGGAGTGGGTTTGTGTTTTTTTTGCCATCTTCTGGGCGTGGAACAGCGGTCACTGGGTGTGTGTGTGTGTGTGGGGGGGGATCTGTGAATTTCCTGCCTTGTGCAGGGGATTGGGCTAGACGACCCTGGAGGTCCCTTCCAACCCTATGATTCTAGGTTCCCCTCCATCACCACAGCTAGTAGCCACTGGTAGGTCTACCTTCCATCGATCTATCTAGTCCCCTTTTAAAGCTGTTTGTTCCTGTGGCCATTACTACATCCTCTGGCAGCAAATATGACATTTTAATCACTTGCTCTGTAAAGGAGTATTTCCTTTTGTCCATCCTGAACCTACTGCCCACCAGCTTCATCGGATGCCCACCAGTTCTAGCCTTTTGGGAGAGGGAGAAAAAGTTATCTGTCAATCCTCTCCGTCCCATGCATAATTTTATCAGCCTCTATCATGCCCCCTCAGTAGTCTCTCCAACACTTAGAAATCACATTAAAATTTCTGAAGGGAAAAGACCCAGGCTCAGCACCCTTCCCTCATAGGGAAGGCACGCCAACCCCTTCAATCATCTTGGTTGCCATCAAGGCTCCCTCTCAGCTGTGGAGTCTTGTGAGCAAAAATTCTACTTTGTGAGCTCCTGGCTTTAAAGTTGTGAGCGAGCGATTTGGCTACTTTGCTCTGGACTGGAGCCCTCCTTCCTGAGCTGAGACAAAAACGTGTGCGCCGGAGACTAAAAAGCCGTGAACTAGCTCACACCAACTCAGCTTAGAGGGAACACTGGTGGTTGCAATCACCTGCGGTGCAACAGGTCTGTGGCTCGCAGGAACCGGGTGCAGGAAACTTTCTCTACATCCCCCTCCCCGCAAAATCCCGATCGATCCCTCCCTCCCCCCCCAGAGAGCCGGGTGGGGGAGGAGGCCGCCTGGCGGACGGCCTGGGGAGAAGAAGAGCACCCCCGCCCCTGCTGCCCCCCGCGCCGACTTACCCGCCAGCAGCAGCCCAGGCGCGCCTCCAGCCGCCGCGGAGTGGCCCAGCGAGCCCCGTCCGGGAGAAGTCGCGCCGCGCCCTCTGGAGGCTCCACCTGCCCAGCCGCGGAGGAGGAGCGCCCGGGTCACACTCCAGGCCCTCCGGGCGGCGAGGCTCAGCCGCCCCCGCCGCCGCTCCCTCGCTCTAGCCGCCCCAGCGCCTGCTTCGCCCGCCCGGCCTCCATCCCCCCGACCCGGGCTGCTGCAACGAGTGGCGCTTCCGTCCCCGCGCCCGGCTGGAGCGCGGCCGCTTCGGCGTCGTCCGCAAGTGCGCCTCCCTCCACCTCCAAGAGGGGGCAGGTCGAAGCCCCGCGTGAAGCGTGGGGGCCGCGGAGCATGTGCAGAGTACTGGAGCCTCGCGGTGGTTACCAACAGTCTGCGTTCTAGGGTTGCCAGCTGGCCTGGAGGAAAACGTCCTGCTCCTTTAACAGAAGGGGGGCGCTGAAGGTTTTCAGGGACAGGGTGAAAGGCGGAATGGGCAATAAACAGCAAAACTTTTTTATGTCAGCCGCCCTGCGCCTGGGTCGGCGGGGAAGACGGGGTATAAATCGAATGAATGAATGAATGAGTGAATGAATGAATGAATGAATGAAACAGCAAAAAGCACTGGGATGCGTCACAGACACTTCAGAACAATATTCTAGAAGTGAAAACACACGACTCTCGCACCGTTATTAACCCTTTCCAGTCCAAAATGCCTCTGGAACACCCGGGGTATCGTGCCACATGAGTCCATCTTCCAAAGCAGGCACTCTGTCCACATCCTTTTTGAAACGAGGCCTCCAGAACTGCACACAATACTCCGCAAGTGTGGCCCGACCAATGCAGTGGACCAATGCAGTGTACAGCGGGACTATGCCACCCTAGGATTTGGATGTTATGCCTCTGTTGAGACAGCTCAAGATCACATTAGCCTTTTTTGTCGCTGCCTCACACCGGCTGGCTCTTCTGACAAAGCAGGTTCTACTTCTGCTTCCATGTAGCTGTTCATCTTCAAGATGCCAGAAGATCAGGTCTCTGGAGAGGTGGCAATATACATTTTGGGTGAGTGGCAGAGCATCTGCTTGCCCCGATCCAATCCCCAACATCTCCAGTTTTAGAAAAGGATCAAGTGACCTGAAAGACCTCTTCCTGAGAACCTGGAGAGCAGTGGTCAACCTGAGTAGACAATACTGACCTTGATAGACCAAGGGTCTGATTCAGTGCGAGGCCGCTTCATGTGAATGGGATGCCTAAAAATGTGGTATTCAGGTGGGTGGATGATTGGGATGCCAGCCTCCAGGTGGGACCTGGGGATCCCCTGGAATGACCGCTCATCTCCAGACTACAGAGATCAGCTCCCCTGGAGACAATGGGTGCTTGGGAGGGTGGGCTCCGTGGCACTGTGGACCCTACTGAGGTCCCTGTCCTCCCCAAGCTCCATCCCCAGATTCCAAGGGGTTTCCCTCCCCCGTTCCCCCAGTGGCAAGGGTGACCTGGCAACTCTAGTGAATGGACTCTTTTTTTAAAAAAAAAAATTAGAGGTGGCATATAAAACTTCTAGATTCCTAGAGCCAGTTTGGTGTAGTGGTTAAGTGCACGGACTCTAATCTGGGAGAACCGGGTTTGATTCCCCACTCTTCCACTTGCAGCTGCTGGATGACCTTGGGCAAGCCATAGTTCTGTCCAGGGGTCATTTTGTAGAAAAAGAGGTGCAGGAGCTCATTAGCACAACTTATTTGCATACGGCACACCCCCTGACATCACAAGAAGTGTGTCAGAAGGCAACACCCACCGCTCAGGCTCCACTGGACTGTTTTGGATTGCTAGCTATTGGGGGGGGGGGAACATGCAGATCTGCTCTCACAGAGGAGGGAGAGCTTGTACCTGAATCAAACTTGGTCTTAAAGGTGCCACTGGACTGTTTTGGACCGGGGTGGGGTGGGGGCTCTGCAACTTACCTGGCTGCTTCTTGCTCTGACTGAGGGCTGCTGGGAGCAGGGGGTGGGGCTTATTGCATGTGCCCGCCCCCTGGGCTCTTTACTGCCGGAGCTCCGCTCCCGTGCGCTCCTGCAGGAAATGACCCCTGGCTCTGTCAGAGCTGTTCTCTCAAGGACAGTTCTGTCAGAGCTCTCTCAGCCCCACCTACCTCGCAGGGTGTCTGTTGTGGGGAGGGGGAGGGAAAGGAGATTGTAATCCGCTCTGAGACTCTTCTTCTTTTTCTTTGGGCTGCCACAAATGAAGCAGGCTGTCCCATTGGCCTTCCGCCACCCGCGGCAACATCCGGGGCAGGTTTTGGCCCTGCTCTCTGGACTAGCCCGTCCCCGTCTCCCTACGTTTTTGTCTCTCCTCAGCCCAGATCAAGAGTGGGCATCGCCCCCTGAGCAGACTTTCCTGCCCTCTTTACGTGCTTCATCTTCAACTGGCCCATCAGACCATTCTCCTCCTGGGGCAGCCCTGGGAACTGCAGCTCTGCCGGGACATCAGCATCTCTGAAACATCTCAGCGCATCGCCGGGCTCGAAGATTCACGTCAGTGCAGTGGGAGGGACAGCGAGGTCTTATCTCCCCCATTTAATAATCCTGCTGTTGTAAATTGGCAGGGCAGAAACAGCAACTTGCTCTGCAGCTCTGCGGGGCTTACCCAGGAGCTCTCTCGGTGCTCAGTCGCTGCTGGCGCACCTTTGCGTCGTCAACCCCAAAATGCCCCAAAGGACGCGTTCCACTGGGACACGATGTGGGCGGTGAATCCAGGTATTCTGCATAGCATCACTGTAAGCTGTTGTTTAAACACAGGTAGCAGGGTGTGTCCTTCACCATCACAAGAACACGAGCTGCCTCTATGTCTGGTCTTATGAATCCTGAAAGCAAAGGGCTATGCTGTTGCCTACCAGTTGCATTGTTTTTGTTTTTGCATTTTTGTGTGTGTATGAGCTTGTGTGTGCCCGTGCCTGGAAGTCATGGCAACCTCTGGCGACTCCTACTGGTGCATGGAGGACGTTTGGGGAAGTGGCTTGATAGCCTGCCCCTGCCTCCCGGCCCTGGTATTCCTTGGAGGTCTCCCATCCAAATACTTGCCCTGGGGCGATTCTGGATCTAGCATTCGCTCCGCATCTTCTCAACTGGGAGGAAAAAGTGCAGCTCAAAACCATATTCAAATACCCTGGGAGCAGACTGCCCAAACGGCCATAAAACTATGCAGAAGGTACAATAAAATCCAACGATCAAAGAACCTGGAAGTAGCATGGAGTGTGGGAGCTACCATAAAACCTGATAATCAAAGGATGTGAAAGCAGCACGCGATGAGGAGGGGAATTTCTGTTCCAACGTGGGTTTCGTAAAACAACAGAGGGCAAAGCCAATGCAGAATCAGCCGGGGTCGGCCCTGCATAGTTCTGGGATCTGATTAGATTTATTTATTTATCAGATTTATACCCCACCCTCCCTGCAAAGTGGGGCTTGCCTGGGCTATCCGGGTCAGGGTGGCTACCAGTTGCCTTTTGAGAGGCTCTAAGAGATATTCCCTCCCCAATGTGGAAATATCTCAATGAGTATATCTGGTGGGAAGCAATGGTCCCTCTAAGCTGTGGGGTCTCGTGAGCAAAAATTCTACTTTGTGAGCTGCTGGCATTAAAGCTGTGAGCGAGCAATTTGGCTACTGCATCAATTTGTTTGCTCTGGAGCCCTCCTTCCTGAGCTAAGGCAAAACTGTGTGAGCTGGAGGCTAAGAAACTGTGAGCCAGCTCACACTAACTCAGCTTAGAGGGAACACTGGCGGGAAGACTTTCATAGGAGGAAGCTATTCTTCGAGTGGCTTAAATTGGCTGTGGGAGCTCAGACAGGCCATGGCCCAATGGCAGAGCATCCGCTTGGCATGCAGGTGGTCCCAGGTTCAATACCTGGCACCCTGTTATAAGAATCAGAAAACAGGTGATGTGAAAGACCTCTGCCCGAGACCCTGGAGAGCCTCTGACAGCCTCTGAGTAGGCCATACTGATCTGGATGGACCAAGGGTCCGATTCAGCGTAACTCAGTTTCATGTGAATTGGTTGTCCAAACATACAGTGGGTCAGTCATGTTAATCTAGAACAGTAAAGAGCCTCATGACACTGTAAAGACTAGCACAGGAATTGTGGCAGAGGTTAGAACTCGAGGGCTGATGGGCAGTAGGTTCAGGACAGACACAAGGAAATACTATTTTACACACCGAGTGATTACAATGTAGGATTCGCTGACAGAGGATGTAGTGATGGCCACAGGAGTAAACCGCTTTAAAAGGCGATTAGATAGATTCATGGAGGATAAGTCTCTCAGTGACTCCTAGCCATGGTGACTGAGGGGAACCTCCACATTCAGAGGCACTAAACCTCTGAATCCCAGATCCAGAAGGCAACACTGGGGGAAGGCCTTGGCCTCTGTGCTGTGTTGTTGGCTGTCCAGAGGAACTGGCTGGCCACTGTGTGAGACAGGATGCTGGACTCAATGGACCACTGGTCTCATCCAGCAAGGCTCTTCTTATGTTTCCTGAGCCACAGCCCCCTCCATAGCTCTCCAGGGTCTCAGGTAGAGGTCTTTCACATCACCTGCTGCCTGGTCCTTTTAACTGGAGATGCCGGGGATTGAACCTGGGACCTTCTGCATGCAAAACAAAGGCTCTTCCACTGAGCCACATCCCATGTTGTTTAATTACTCTGGGTTGGATCCTGCAGATCTGTTCTAATGGTGGCACCTTCCTCCACCCTCTGGCATGTAGAGTCTTTCCCTGATGCAAGACTGCGGAAGGAGACTCCCTGCGCCAGAGGAAGGTGCTACTGTGTGCAAAACAGAGCTGCAGCATCCAGTCTTCTGTTGTCCTTGGTGATGTAAAACATCCCACTAAAAAGACTTGATTTTTTAAAAAGAAGGGAAGACTTACAGGCAGCTTGCTAGTAAACCCTGCTTTGGAAGCTGGTGCAGAACAGGTTATATGAGAATGTGCATTCAGCAAAGTCTTTTGTGATAAAAGGAAGTACTTCTTCACCCAAAGAGTGATTAACACA